GTGGTGACCTTCTCCAACAAGCAGAGGGAACTGGCTGCAATCACCACAATCCATGGGAATCCTGTTGAACTAGTAGAGGAGTATAAGTACCTGGGTACCATCTTCGACAGCCTGCTGAAATCCGCCTCCAACACCGAGGAGATTCTCAGGAAATGTCAGCAGCGGAAATACCTCCTAAGGAAGCTCAATTCCTTTGGAGTCAGTAAGAACATTCTTCTGACCTTCTACTACTCCTTCATTGAGAGCATTATTACTTTTTCTATAACCTGCTGGTTCCACTCCACCACCCTCCAGAACAGAAAGCGCCTGCAGAGCACGGTCACAGTCTGCTCTAAGATCATTGGACTACCTGTAAGGACTCTGACATCCATCTATGAGCAACAGACAATCAGGCTAGCAGGTCGGATCATGCAGGACCCCTCACACGCTCTCTTCCCAGCGTTTGAGTGGCTCCCCTCAGGACGCCGGCTTCACTGTCCCTGCTGCAGGACACAGAGGAGAAGAGCAACCTTTGTTCCCAGGGCGGTCCAGCTCCTCAACTCCTAGCCCCCCCCCCCCCCCCAACAGACACCAACACCTCTCACCCAATGCAGACTCTCAGCTGTGAACTTCCTTTATATTGACATGCACCTGAACTGCCTCTGCTTTATCTGGTCTCATGCACTACATCACTTTATTCTATCCATTTTATACCAGTAGTCAGACAGTTCTGGTTTCTTTATTCCTGTTGTTTCTTATCCATCATTGCACTACGGTCACTTTATTTATCTCATTTTTACCTTACAGTTATATTGTATATATTAGTTCTGTTGTTCCATTATTCACCATGCACCTTAATAACTTATCATTTAGTATTTGCCTACCTGCACATAGCTCTGTATATATATATTCATTTCTTGTTTACTGCACATAGTTCTGTTTACATCTGTTTACGTCTGTTAGTCCGATCACTGTCCACTTATATCTACTCTTTTATATTTTGTATTTTTAAGTTAAGTTTAAGCTTTAAGTTGTATTTAAATTGACACTTTATATTTAGGTTAAAATGTTTTGTTTACTTGCACTGTTGTTAATTTACTGCTCTGTGTGTCTTTGAATTGCCCCCAGGACAAATAAAGTTTTTGAATTGAACTGAATTGAATTGAAATTCATCCGACCGGTCGTTCCCCCCGACCGCTGCATGGCGACTGACATGTGATCGGGCTGAAATTCACCAGACTTCATAATCAGCTGTTTCACCCAATCACAAGTCAAAAAAACATCTGTGTAATCTGACTATAGGCGCGATAGGTTGCATAGTACAGAGGCTCCTCCTCCAAGAGGGCGGCACGGGTTCAAGTCCGACCTGTGTCTCCTTTCCCATCTGTCATTACCCTCTCTCTCCATCTCGCAAGACAAGAGCCCAAAAATAAATCTACACCTGACTAAAGCTCTCATAAAGTTTTCATCATAATTTGTTTTTCAGCCACAAGGGGGCCACAAACTGATTTCTTACACTTACATGCATGAGCATATACAGTACAGACAACAGATGTTGCCATGGTTACATCACCCTGTGGTTTGTGCACTACCAATGTGAAGCCTGGGAAGTTTGTCATGTCAGTCTTGACCATCTTTGGAGATTACCATATTTGGACCATAAGTGGGTGGAGCCAATGAAAAGTATTTCTACATGTTAAATAAAACATTTTATTCAGATGAGGAAGTCGAGATCTCGAGGAAACAACAGAGTCAAAGAAAAGTAAAGATGAATGTCCACAGAGGCAACATTTAACATTTATATAAAACTTTTATTCTGGATGAAACCAAAGGAAGGGGCTTCATGTGATGAAGGAGACCTGCAGCATGAGAGGAACACTGAAGGATTCAAGACTTCTGCAAACTCTCCTTTGTGTCTCCCAGGTGATGAAACTCTCACACAGGCATGCCTTCATGAGGCGGCGTGCTGCAGACTCAGCGTGGCGACCGGCCAAAGAAGTGTCATGATCTGTTAAACACATAAAGGAAACAATCTTTAAATCCTGCTCCACAGACTCAAGCACCTTCCATGAGTCGGAGTCAAACACTCCTCTGAGCCGAGTGTCAAGTCAAGTCACAGTTCAAGGCGTGTCTCAATGGCCTCAGTGTAACATTAACCATAAATCAAACATTAATCACATAAAGAAATAATAAGACGGTGTTTTGGCACGGCAGGATGTGAAGAGCACTGACGCATGTCATCTCACATGGAGTCGCCGGTTGTCTCAGTCACACTCTCTGAAACTCAAACACTCAGTGGACTCTGTTTAGTTTGACCACAGGCGTTTTGTTCCCAGGGTGTGTGTGTGTTTGTGTGTCCACGGTCACAGCTGGTTACACAGCGCACATCGCTGTCTCATTGTGTTTAGGGTTAGGAGAAAGAAAAGGATTCTGGGAGTCCGAGCTTTGGACCAACCGGTATGTCGGTAATGATGACATACGGAAGCCCAAAGCAGACATGCTTCATTACATTTTATTTGTGATAAGGAGAACATTTAGGTTGTTTTCACATGAACTGGACTTGTGTATGTCCTTCAAAATAAAATACAGACTTCTCCTTCAAAATAAAAAACAGACTTCTCCTTCAAAATAAAATACAGACTTCTCCTAAAGTGAAGCTGCTCCATTGTCCCTTCTGGGCCTCCGTACATGTGTGGTGGTGACTGTGTCTGCAGAGACTCTGTCCTCTCACTGGATTTTACTGTTCTGCTTTGTGACGGTTGACTCGGGACGTTTGTGGGCGGAGCTGGTGTGTTTCCTCCAATGACAGCGCAGCAGGTGAGTTTAGGAGTGGATACAGTTCAGTGATTGGACGAGATTCAAAGCGGTGAATATGACGGACGTGGACGTAGCAGCAAAGAAGAGAAAATATAATGAGAGTGAGGAGAAACACCAAGTGGATAAAGATCGTTCTAAAACGAGGGTGAACCTTGTGTTGTCTTTTACCCGTGGACGTGGAGTTGGTCTACTTCCTGTTGGACAGGAAGGTGACAAACACCGGCGGTTAGCTTGTGCTAGCATGTGTTAGCTTGCAGTGAAGGAACAAGCAGTAAACGTACACACTATGTCCTGCAGGGGGCGATGAGCCAAGGAGGAGTGGCCATGTTTGAATGTTTTGTTATCAAACTGTGATTGATGTTTCTTCTGACTCCGCCTTTAAGGCTTCCGTACTTTTCCTTTAATAGTGAAAGGTTGAGCTGCAGCTTGAAGGAAATTGTTTTCACTTGTCCTGAAACGACAAATGTCCCTTTCTCCAATCACTCCACAAATGGAGTGAAGGGATGAGATTAAGATTGCCTCGTCCACAACAGAAGTGACAATAAATTGCTTTTTTTTAAATAAAAGGATGAACGTGAAATAACAGGATGTAAGTAGAGGAAGCATGTTAGCAGCTTCTCTCTCTGTTTGCTTTGAGATTTCCCAATCAGTGACCTCGGCGATAAAAAGTGACTCAGTGACGCAGACGTTAATGGGTGTTGACCTATTTTACACGCCGTGCAAACTGTGTGTATAACATGTGTGATGTGAACGCTGACGGCCTGTTTTCGCCTTAGAGGAGCTCAGTGTGTTTCCCTCTTCCCTCCCGTCCGTCAGGCACACAAACAAAACTTGACATTTTCCAGACGACACCTACTTTTTATTCAGGAATCTTTCAACATGAAAACGTTAAACACATAAAAAAAATTAAAGTGCTTCACTATCAAAAAAGGTCACAGGCAAAGGTTGGATGCAGCTTTTCTGAACAGTTACATGAAATCCTACAGAGATAAATAAAGGCGACCATCATATTCAACGTGTAGAAGCACATAAAAAAAGATCAAAACCAACACAGCAGTTATTTAACCCTTGACCTGTCCCTCTGTGCTTAAAGGTGCAATATGTAGAATTTTACACAAAAATGTCTAAATGTATTAAAAATGGAATAAAATATGTTAAATTTTTCTTAAATTTCTTAAACTACCTCAAATATTTCCAACAGTTATCAAAGTCAGAGAAATCCTTCATTTTAGAGTTGTTACAGCCTGTGAAGGTCGCCATGACAACAACATGTTTATCGTTACTATGGAAACACTGGGTGCTGCTCCAGAGACCTGCTGCAGCTACTCTTCAAGCTGAACAGAGCTGACCCCCCCCCCCCCATGAAGGAAACTTTTGAATGTTTTGAGCCTACTGCAGTGTTGGTTTTGACCTTTTGAGGGGAGGCAACAACATGTTTAATAACGCCATCTTTACCTGTCCGGTTGGAACTAGCATGAAGTCTAGTGGTCACTTTTTCTACTTCTAATCTTTTGATCCCACTGGACAAGAGTGGCAAGAAGCGGTGATATATACAAAGCATGTGGCTTTAAAAAAAGTCTTATATACATCTAAATGGTTTACAGCTGAGTTTCTGTCCGTTAAGCGTCCACCAAAAAAACAAAACAACTCCAGCACCTACGCTTTGTTCAAAACCCCTTTTTACACCCGCACACCTGAACACTCTGTGGGAATCTGGTCAGCGTTCAGAGGTCGTTCAGTAGTTTAGTAGTCCAGATTCCTCCCGAGTGGTAAAGCAATGAGGCCCAGCTGGACCTGCAGTGTGAGAGCTTCACATCCGGGGGTGGAGGTGGGTGGTGGTGGAGGTGGTGAGGTGGTGGTAGCGGAGGTGGAGGTGGTGGAGGTGGTGGTAGCGGAGGTGGAGGTGGTGGAGGTGGTGGAGGTGGTGGGGTGGTGGTAGCGGAGGTGGTGAGGTGGTGGAGGTGGAGGTGGTGGTAGCGGAGGTGGAGGTGGTGGAGGTGGTGGAGGTGGTGGAGGTGGTGGAGGTGGTGGTGGTGGAGGTGGTGGTGGTGGAGGTGGTGGTGGTGGAGGTGGTGGAGGTGGTGGAGGTGGTGGTAGCGGAGGTGGTGGTGGTGGAGGTGGTGGTAGCGGAGGTGGAGGTGGTGGAGGTGGTGGTGGTGGAGGTGGTGGTGGCGGAGGTGGTGGAGGTGGTGGAGGTGGTGGTAGCGGAGGTGGTGGTGGTGGAGGTGGTGGTAGCGGAGGTGGAGGTGGTGGAGGTGGTGGAGGTGGTGGTAGCGGAGGTTCAGGCGGCGCTCATCCCGTGCCACGCAGACACGACTTTCTCCGGGTGAGCGATCATGTCCTTCCACTGCTCCACTGCTTCAGGGACCAGGCTGTCCAATCCCAGCTGGATCTGACACAAACATTGAGAGGGCAATAATTACTTATATACTTAAAGTCTTTGTATGTGATTTTTTTGATCCAGCAGATGTCGCCCTTGAGCACCAGCATGAAACCAAAACAACTCACGCTGCATTGTTGTGTTAGCATGCTAATGCTAGCGATCTTTATTATGCTGGTATCTTCACACTGCATGTAAATTTACCTGAAATGAGCGTGATCTAGAAACACAGTTAAGCAGTGAGTACAGTATGTTATTCTTCTTTTTCTCTAGTCCCTCAATTAAACAACTTTTATACACGAGGGGAGGAGTCAGCCGGCCGTCCCGGCGATGTAAACAAAGTGAAGATAGGACTCTGAAAACTCTGAAAACATCACAGACAGTGGGACTCGGGTGTTACACCCATTGTAGACAGTCATGACTCACAGAGTTATTTTCAGAGGAGAGACTTGATTTCTACATTTAAGTGTGAGTAATCACATATAAAGACTTTAACAAAGGTCAAAGGTCATGACCACAGGTGAGGGTAGGGACGATGATCGAGCAGTAAATCTGAAGCTTTTAGCTTCCTCTTCACCTCAACAGGTCGGTTCAACGTCCACATCACTGCAGACACTGAACCAATCCGCCTGTTGATCTCACGGTCCATTTTACCCTCCCTCATGAACCAGGACCCAAGATACTTAAACTCCTTCCAAACCCCGGTGTTGTAAAAACTCACCTGTCCAAGGCACTGCTTCCTCCTGACCGAGCTGCGGCTGTAGAGTTTGACTGACAGCGAGTAGTCGTGGTCGACGGCAGCGAGGAGGAAGTGGAAAGTCTCCGCCCACCGACACTGACCCTTTGAGGCCTTGATCACTCGAGTCTTCTTCTTCATCACCACCCGCCCGAGCTGGTGCATCTCCGCTTTGACAAAAAACGCTTCAGAGGGGGGAGGAGTCACAGTTACTATGGTTACTCATCTATACACGGTTTACACCAAAGTTCTATTTGCAGAGGTATGTACTGTACCTTGTGTGAGCGGAGTGGAGGATGCTGGGAGGTTTTGAGCGGCGAGGACTTGGAGCTGGATCCGCCCGTTTACCGGCTGGAAGCAGGTGGTGAGATTGAGCTCAGCGTGGCACACCTGAAAGAGAACGGTGGATTTGTTTCTCTTTTTATAGGACATTGTGGATCACAAACAATCTGGTTTCCAAATAAAACGGGGGGCGTCTCCTCACTTAGACCGTAACAGCGGGAAGGTTGAGGTCGTAACCGGCGGATAAAAATCAAATTACAAATGAATTTAAGTAATTTCTTCTTTTAGACTGAGATCATTTAACTGATGTACGTATGTTTGATTTTTATTTTTATTTTTAATAATTTTATTCCTTTTTCCTGTTTTCTTGAGTTGCTGTAATGCAAAATTTTCCCCCATAGGGAATCAATAAAGTTTATCTTTATCTTTAGAAAGAGGAGTTTTCCTTCTAATCACAGTGATGACGTGGGAACAAAGCCGATCAGTGGTGGTCTTAAGAGTCTTTGCAGAGCAACGCTGATTTGGACAATTTGTGGCGTTTTACCACCAGATGGTTAAAAGACTCTCGCTAACTGAAGTCGTCCCTCAGAGATCATAACAATAACTCGCTGTGATGAAGAACACTTTTTACTTTCTGTGGCCAGACATCCATCTATTATCATCCAGTCGGCGCTCCGCTGTTTGAAATGGGTCGACCTACTTTCCTCGTCTTTCCATTTCCAGGATGAGAATCAGCGCTCTGGTTCCACGTCTCCAATAAAAAGCCTGCTTCATAACTTCCCTCTATGATGAATCCTCGCTCTCTTTTCACTCTGATTATGTAACAGTGTTCACCCTGCCTCTGTGTCCCTCTGCACCTTTAAGAAAAAGCTAAAGAGCCAGCTCTTTCATGAATACCTACTAACTTAATGATGATGGTCTCCATATTATTGATGATGATGATGGTAATGACGATGGTTTTTGTTTGATAACGACGACTTATAAGATGGTTTCTATACTGATTAGAGCTCTCAAGAACTGCCCTCAATGTTGTGCTTTGCCTCTGGTCACTTCCTGTCAGCACCTGTGTGTCCAATCAGACTCAAAGCTGATCGTTTGCTCTTACTCACATTGTTCCCTTTTTTCTAGATCCTTGCTTGTGTTGTTCTTACTCTCTGATGTACGTCGCTTTGGAGAAAAGCGTCTGATAAGTGAAATGTAGAATATCGTCCCGTGAGGGCCCAAGAGTTCTGTTATTGCCTGTGTGCTATAATTCATCACAGAGGCAGTTTTATGAGGTACACACAGTGCTGTGTTCTTATTTACTGTGCACATATGAGATGGTGATAAAAGACGGCAGCAAACAGAGGAAACAGAGGAAGACGTCTGAGATAGTTTCCTCCTTTTGAGGTTGGACTAAAAGACTCGTCAAAGCTTCTGTTCTGGTTCGTTCTTTAAATCTGAACTTGTTAAAGCCGTCTGATTGTGTTTTAAGGTTTAGAGCATGAAGGATGACATCTGAGCACTCACAGAGGATTTGGAGCGAGGGCTGAGGTCGAGCCAGTGCTCGGTCTCCTGAGCGCCGAGCTGTCGCAGAGAGAAGACGCACTCGGCCACCGTACGCTTCTTGTTGCTGTGCGTCTGCAGCCGCAGAACCAGAGCGCTGCAACGCAACTGCTGGAGACGCAACGCAAACACGAAGGTCTCCATGAAGGACACGTCCTACAGAGCAGAAGGAGAAGGTGTTAACATTCATGAATAAAAATTAAAAAAACATCTGACACAAGCGATGGAGCTTTTTTGAACGCTCATACGACCTAGAACATAAATTTAAAGGTCCCATATTCCCCATGTTCCTCTAACTCTAACATGTGTCTCTAGTCCGTCTACAAACCCCCCAATCATGAGAAAAGTTCATCCTCTCCGTCTTCTGCCTGCTCCACTTTTCAGAAAATGTGTGCTCAAACAGGCCGTTTGGAGATCTTCCCTTCATGACATCACAAAGGACAGTAGCCCCTCCCCCAGGTGGGTGACACTCCCACAGCTAGGTGTTTGTTCTGCCCTCTGAGTCTGCCTTCTCACCGTAAACAATAGGACATGGAGCGAGAAAGACTGAGTACACCCAAGCCCTTCCAGCGAGGGGGCGTGGTCAGACACAGCTCATTTACATATTTAAAGGTGCAGACACAGAAACAGCCTGTTCTGAGCGTGGGACAACAGAAACCTTAAATTGGGGGAAAAGTACTTCACTTCATGGCTGCCCAGAGTGTGTGTGCCAGAGAGCTCTCTCTCCTTCCTGAGAGCAAACTGTTCTCAGGTGTGCAGCAGGTAGAGGGAGGAGGGAGAATCAGGGAGGAAGGATGAAAGAGAGGAAGGAAAATGAAAAACAACCTTCATCTGTTCGCTTTTTCAAAGTCGACCTTTAAACTGTATCTGACTCTCAGGGTGAATTGTGGATCTTTGGGGTGTTTTTGTCGGATGTGATATGTATACTCGGTGTTACCTGACTGTAGTCCTTGACGGAGCTCTTGAACTGAATGGGTTTGGGGACAGTGATGATCCCTTTGAATCCAATCTTCTGTTGTTCTGCTCCGTCAGGAGGAAGGTTGAGCTCTGAACACTGAAGACAAACCAAAATGAAAATTGAAAAGAAAGTGTGTGATGAGGCCAAGCAAAACGTTTTATCATTTCTTGAAAGGAAACAAGGTGTTGAATAAACTGCTTATGAAAGAAAAGGAAATCATAACAAAATCCAAGAGTCCAAAACCCTCTCTGTATCGATCGTGTGTGCAGGTTGTCAAAATGTTCATCACTTCAACTGACTGTCAGTTTTACTGGATGAAGCCTGAGTGACGTCACCCATCTGTGTTTCTGCTCCCTTGCTTTCCTTTTTCTTCATTTCCACAGGGTGCATGCTGGGAAATATTCTAAACAGGAATCTATTTGTAGTCTTGAAAAAAGAGACAATGCATTACAATAATTTCTGAGTCCATACAGTCAGAGTGTGGAAGGCACCGGCATCAAGAACAATAGTTGAATGTTCAGTAAAGGCGCGGTCGCTGTTTCTCTTTGAAAGATGAAACATAAAGACGCTTCTGTTCCTCAGAAACAACAACAACCTTTACCTGCAGAGCTCTCAGAATCTCCAACAGAGGGTCCTTTGAGGAACGCTGCAGGGGAGCACAATGGAACTCTCTGTGTTTCTCCTCTCAGTGTGTAACCTTACCTGGACCAGAGTGATCCACACCTGCTCCAGAGTCTCCTGGTAGCTCAGCTGGATGCACACCTTCCCCAGCTCACGCTCGTCCCACGACAGGGGGATGGAGTCTGTGACAAATGAGCAGGAGGACACAACAGGAAGAAGTCATCACATTGTAATGTCTGGATGTAGATATGATCTTATACTGTAGTTACAGGTAGTTATGAATCAGTTTTAATGAAATATTATTTTTGTGTTTGCACTCTTTTTATCCAGACCATCGGACTGAGTCGCCCCCTCAACCATCGCCGTCCTTGTTCCTGCACAGCCTGCTCTGACCTCCACTTCCGTGGACAAGAAGTGTGGACATCAGGAACGCCAGGAAAGCAGAGGAGAAATCCTTCCTGCATATTATCCCATATGTTCTTTTGTAAAGCGTCTCGAGGTAACACTTGTTATGAATTGGCGCTTTACAAATAAATGATTGATTGATTTTATTTCCTGCTTCAGCGTACAGGAGGCTCTCTCCCTGCAGCCTGAACAACCCCAGAACAACCCCCCCCGTCCCCCCACCCCCTTGCTCCCTATCCCTCTTCCTGCATCTTATCCCTTTTAATAAGGCAGTTTTTTCTTACCACTGTAACTTTTGCTGCTTTGCTAAAGTGCTCATGATGGATAGGCCGGATCTTTGTATCATATCAATGAGTAAGGTCTTTTATCTGCTTTATGTAACATAACAATGAGTAAGGTCTTTTACCTGCTTTTTGTAACATAACAATGAGTAAGGTCTTTTACCTGCTTTTTGTAACATTACAATGAGTAAGGTCTTTTACCTGCTTTTTGTAACATAACAATGAGTAAGGTCTTTTACCTGCTTTTTGTAACATTACAATGAGTAAGGTCTTTTACCTGCTTTTTGTAACATAACAATGAGTAAGGTCTTTTACCTGCTTTTTGTAACATTACAATGAGTAAGGTCTTTTACCTGCTTTTTGTATCATAACAATGAGTAAGGTCTTTTACCTGCTTTTTGTATCATATCAATGAGTAAGGTCTTTTACCTGCTTTTTGTAAAGTGTCTTGAGATAACACTTGTTATGAGTTGACGCTATACAAAATAAATTGAATTGAATTGAATTGAATTGAATTGAATTGAATTGAGTTGAATGCAAACAGAGAAAAGTCCACATGGTGTGTAGATCTCTGGGAACTCCCTGGTGGATAGTTTCTCTTCAAAAAGTCCCCAGAACTGTTTGATCCAAAAACACCTTCTTTTGTAATTTATATAGGAGAGGAAAAGTCAGAATAAAAGTGAATTTAAAAAAAGGGACTCTGTTGATGGCAGTGCAGGATGTGATGAAAGTCTGAGACTCATTGCTGCCGTTAGAAAAGAAAAAGGACAAAACTGCTTCTCTGGATAACACGATGATTATTCAGGAAGATTTAAACCCTCAAGAGGAGGAGTGTAGAGAAAACATCTGGATGTTATTTATGTGATGAAGGATTGTGCACGATGCAGACAGATGTTACAGTGGGTCACTGAAACAGAGAGATATGGATGTTCATTTACCTAAGCTGCTCTCGATGGAGCCGAACCGTGGGGAGGACGTGCTGCTGAGGACGCTGGAGAGCGAGTCACAGTGCTGCAGCTGAAGATAACAGACAAAAAGTAATGTCAGAATCAGAACAGCAAGAAATCAATACATTTTTATTTGTATAGCGTCAACTCATAGCAAGTGTTATCTGGAGACACTTTACAAAAATCAAGCTTACTTATTGTTATATTACAAAGACAGCAGGAAATATTCACTATTTTATTATTTTAGGGTTTTCCCTCTGAGGACGATAAATGTCTGATCGAGATGCCGTAGCACGATATCCCCGAGCTGTGTCGGATAAAAGTTGTGTCCTTAAATCTTTGAACACGTCTCTTCTCCACTGTCATGCTAATTGTGTTTACTGTCAGATCTGCTGCCAAGACGCTTTTCATGGAATAATTACCGTCGACTGTTTGCTCATGGCGTTGGTAAGACAAACATTTAACTTATTAAACTTTATTCTGACTGCGTGTTGTTCTGGATATTTAAAACCTTAACTGAAGAAAAAAGTGACAAGAAAACAATCACTGTTTGTTGAGAAAATCAGACATTTAGATTTTTTTACATTTCTCAATTTAAAGTGACAATATGCAGGGATTCGACTGGGTGCACTTTGGTGCCCACTAAAGGCCTCTGAGTGCAATTACACTGTCATAAAACAGTGCTGTCATGGCTCCCCCTCACAGACAGCGTGCATTTGTTGACAAGCAACACGTCTACTGACATGGTTCAGTTTTTTTACTGGATTTTCAGAAACATGACGACCAGCACAAACAGCCCGCCGTACAGACGGCTGTAAGCACACGTAACTCGGGTTAGACGACTTTCTGCAGCCGGTAAAGCTGCTAAACATGAGACAGTGACTCTTATCTTCCTGATGTATTTGTGGATGATTTTTGACAAACATTTTGCTGTTCGGATTGGTTATTTGTGTCTTTTAATGTCTTGTGTATTTTGTATTTGAAAGATTGGCTGCTTGTTGTCCGTGTGAAACTCTGTTAATGTTTTTCTGCCTGTCTTGGCCAGGACACTCTTGAAAAGTGAGTTTCTTTCCTGGTTAAATAAAATAAATCAATAAAAAATCCTTCAGAGTCCTCTTCCTCGTACCCTCAGTCGTTGTTTCAAGCAGGACAGAGATGAGCTAACAGGCTAGTAGCTAAAAGTCATACGCAGTTCTCCTGCTGCCAAACTCATCAAGTCATCATGTCTGTATTTCATTTTTCCCCCAGTGCAGCGTTTGTGATTCTCCCTGTCTCTGCATTTTGTCGCCTTTGCGCCTCCATAAACTGTATTTCTTTTTTTTTAAGAATATTTTTATTGAGTTTTCAGCAATAGCACACAGAAATAATCACAGTCACACACGAAAAAAAGAAAGAGAAGAGGAAAAAAAGAGGAAGAACAGCAGAAGAGAGAAATACATACACAAATGTTGTGCATATGTTGCAGTGGTATACTTATCCCACACACTTAGTATATGGGATAACTCTGCATGCAGCAGAATGCATAAGTAGAGACAAATTGAGTCCTGCAATATAAAGAAGAAAGAGCAAAGAGAGAAGGGAAAAGAGGAGGGAAGAAGGCAGGGGCGAGATGGGGGGGGGGCTACTGGTCTAGAGTATTAACTTTATTAACATAAACTGTATTTCTCACATGCTGTTTTATACAAACTTGCACAAATGCCTTGATATTTTTTGGGATAAATTAAAGGTGAGGAGCTTTTTTTGATCTTTATAACAGAGTTCATGTGAAAGGTGTCGTTGTGGATCAGCTCGGGCCGCACATCTACATCCTCATGCTGTTCCTCTTTTACTTTCCCTCTTTCAACTAAACACGACTCTGTGAAGCTCGTCTGCAGAGTCCCCCTCGGTGGAAACTGACAGATTATATTTAGTCTGAGTTGACCCCGGGCTGAGAACATGTTGTGTGAACGCAGATAAGATAAAGAGCCGTCTCACCTGCATGTGAGTCTGAGAGCTTGAGAGGTCGAGCATGGAGCTGCTCAGACGCTGGTCACCGCTCGGCCTCAGATTCCAACCTGGGAGGAAAACAAGTTTTACATTAAAAAGGGGGTTTGTGATTTTTGCAATCTGTGAGCACAGTTTACAAATCTGTGTGCATGGTTTGTAAATCTTAGTGGATGGTTTTGATTGATCTGATTGGATCATCTTTATTGCCCCTAAGGGGTCATTTCACAGACAGAGACAGAAACACGTGTTTAAAACAGTGGAGTGAAGAGACTCAAAGACCATCAGTCTGTAGGATAAGTGTGCCTACAGCTTCTTTAGAAACCCACCTGCTGATGGGACAAAGGACCTCTGATTATAATCTGTGGGTATGGATTTTAAATTATAAACAGTGTGCACTGATTTCATCTTAGCTGAGACTTGCAGGTTTCTTGAGTACTTTGAGGTGCAGACATGGAAAGTGATTTTAAAAAAGCGCAAAGGCACTCTGACTTTAAACAAAAAAAATGTTTTTATTTTCACAGCATTGCAAAACGTAAACTTACACTTTTTGTGAAATTGTTTACTTGAATTATTTTTATTTGATTTTTTATCTGTTTATTTGTTTTAGTTGTATTTGTTTATACTTGTTTAACTGTGTCTATAGGTTTTATGTTGTGTGCATATGTGTGTATATATGTGTTCAAATTTTATGTATATTTTTCCTCATCAAGGCAACGGCGATCTGTAAATAGTTTGTATGTTTGATGATGCTGTCTTGGTTCATGTGTTTAAGCATCTTATGTAAAATTTCAATAAAAAGTTGATGACAAAAAAAAAAAGTAAGTGATGTGAAGTTTGTCTTTGTATTCTGACGACTGTGTACTCATTCCTCTAACCTAAATTTATCTGAATCCAGAAGCGCTCCTTTTTGAGTTCTTTATTAGTTCGATTTTCATTTTCAGGGGAGTTGGTTCTGCTGTGTTTTGCTACCTGGACTTTGAGGACTGTAGATTCTGTTTTTCAGCGTGTCTCTGCGGCTCGAGCCGGGGGACATGTACTCGACCATCTGACCCCGGTGGAAGCTGGACTCTGGGCTGTAGTTGAAGACACTGGAGCCCAGCAGCTCGGCCTTCCTCTCTGCGTACGTGCAGCGTGCTGAGCCTGCAGACAGAGAGCAGGGCACAAAGTCAGCGAGGGGTTGATCTC